TCGAGACGCGTGAACTCAGCGATTCGTCTCTTAAAGCCTGTTCAGCCGTTTGCGTCCGAAAACGAAGTTTTACCATCATCATTCACGACTCATAGCCGTAGGTAAGCATGGTGATGAAGATCTACTTGAGCGCGGAGAGCTTAGTTTTCGGATTCAGCTCTGCATCAATCACGCGCACAGAACTCCACTGACCGCTTCAATTCATCGGTAGATCTTTTCTTCAGTTTAGATTGCTACGTAAACTTATCCACTTGTTGTGTTGCATCCCCGTTTATCTGAAGAGTGCAGCGAGCAGGAGAACGAGAAAGCACTCGGCACTTTCGTTTCGTTAGCAGTTTCCTGTTCTCTGCAGATAATAAGCAGCGACCTTATAACTTTATACCACTTCTAATTTTTTGCACTCCTCTGAGCAGGTACATGATGTTAACATTTTCCTCTGTCAAAACTTTGTTCTCTTTTCTCCCTTGGTCGATTTCAAATTGGTCTACAATCGGCTACTGCTAATTTCTCTATCACGGCTCAACATTATGTCTAACGGAATTTGTTCTAATATATTCTTGAACATTAAGGATTCAAACCAAGTTTCTTTCAGACTCATTCGTTGAATTTTTCAGCCCCTCACAGAGTTTTGCAGCGGATGTCGGTAAGCAGCAGTTCGAAATGTAAATTTGTTGTTTGCAACAGGCAGATTGGAGGACTTGACAGTTTTAAGCTTTATGCGGTTACTTAAGCTACAGGTTGTATTATTATTAGTGTACTTGTATTTTTACTTGTACTCTTGCTGTTCATAGACTTAAAGGAACAGAATCGCGGTTGTGCAGTCACGTCCGTTTTTCTGTACATTGGGTTGAAAAGGATGTGAATTGCTTAATTTCCAAATATTGTTGGGTCGAAAAGTAACTTGCGTGCCTCGATCCGTCGACGTTTTGCTAACAGACCCATATTACCGATGCTAATGTTTATGATATCACCAGTACTCATCTTAATCAGTGTAAAACAATGCGGGGCCGTAGTCGCAGAATGTTAGCACACGATACTTTTCCAAAACCTGATTTGCTGTGAGATGCGTTGTTGGTTTGTTCCTATATGTTTAGGAGGCTAGTTAGAATAGTGATTATTGTATTTATG